GTTGTAGAAATAAACAGATCTCTTTTATGTGTGATTCAGTTTATAAGTGGCTTTTCATATATCTGTGTCCTGTATTTATAACACTTGCAACCAATCACTGCTGTCACTGCTTGTCATTAACCCCTCCACTGTCTTGTACATAGATATATACCACGGATGCCAGTGTCACGTTCCTGTATATCTACGTTTTAAGCACAGCTCATTCAATTATTCTGTGAGAATGGGTCTGTGTGGTGAGTGTGTGAAGAGTATTAAAACAATACTACCCCACACAGTGAATGATGGGAAAAGCAAATAGGTCATCCATTGCGCTTTAGGACACCTTTTAACCATCTAGGAAGTCAATAATACACATTCTTTATAGAGTTTCATGTGGTAAATTTGCCCATGACTCGCAGACGGCGTCCTTCAGCCATGGAAGTGAACTGCTATCCTTTTCCTGGTAGAACCCTCTTCATCACAGCCCAGAGTTCTCAATGGAGTTCAAGTCTGGAGAATTTTCCTGGCCACTCATCTGTAGACAGCCTGTACTGTCTGCACAGACAGCCTATGCTGTCTGCACAGACAGCCTATGCTGTCTGCCAGCTTAGTTCATATTTTGCAGCACTCAGGTGCTGCCCTCTAGGCCTGCCCAGGTCAGTGGGACGCTGGTCCCACTCGCCCTCACTCTCTCAGCAGCCTAGAAGCAGACAACAAGTCTACTCCCTCTCTCCCTCGTGGGCATGGCCCTTGTAGGCATGGCCCTCCCGGGCCATGGGCACTTAACACACAAGCCTGTGTACCCACCACGACTTTGCAAATAAAGTAAGAAGCCTCCGAAGACGTATCCTCACTCACCGCCGCATGAATCACCAAACAAATGGGTTATAAATGGTGGGAAGCAGTGGTCACAGCAGTTGTGTTTGCCCGGAGAGAGGAAGGTATGAAGTTGTTCACTTCATCACCCTACACAAGAAGCATCCATCTCTCAACGAGTTATCCTGATGTCGGGTCTGTATGTTTCAGCATCCAGACACAGGTACAAGCAGTCACTTGTATGTTCTGCTGTTGTTGTTCAGCTCAGCACAGCTATTTCAGCAAGCCAGAGGTGAGTTTGTGGTGATTTCTGCATCCAGTGTGCGTGTCTCCGTGTTTATGGGAGAAGAGGAGGAAGTGGCCGTTCCTTGCCTCGCCCATGCTCGCCCTGCTGTACACTCGCACCTCACCGGCTACCATACACCACCATGCCATCACTCCCTCTGCTGTGTTTTCTGCTGTTTTTCGTGTGAATTCTTTGCCAGAGCTGTGTATCCGAGTGCCCAAGGCCACTCGAAGCTACGTGGATCAGCATGCCACGTAGATCATGACGCCACGTGGATCCCACTGCCACGTGGGGTGTGGATGAAGCCACGTGGATCTACGAGCCACGTGAGTTACTGAGCCAGACATCCCAGGCCACATGATGTGGTCTGCTGCTGCCCGACTTCATGATGTCACGATGTCTGCCTGACACCACATCGAGATGTCTGCTGACGTCACAGTGCTGCTGACATCACCTCGCGATGTCATGCCTGTCATCACATGAAGTCACATCGAGTGTTTCAGTAATTATGTCAGTATTGTCGAGAAGATTGAGAGAAGATATATGTCATGTGTTAATTAATTCCTCTCAGTCAGTGTTCTCACATGTTAGTGTATGGCATCATTTGCTAGTTTAAGCCATGTTGTACCGCATGTACCGTGGGTGTGTGTAAAGTTTTCCGTGTGTCCAGTGTGGTCTTGAGCTGAGACCAGTGTGTAGCACCACTGTGTTATTGTCACCCGGTGTGACCAGCGCATTTGACAGCTGATATTTGTCAGCCCTGAGTGTATGAACCCCTTGTACAGAAAGCTCTTATGCACGTCGCTCATAGATGTTTCTACAGAATCGTACCTGCTATGATTACCATTGAGATTTGTTTCACTTCACCTCCAGACCTTCAGAGTCCGATTATATGTAGAGAAACAAGTCTGGGGATGCTTAGACTAACCTCTGCTGTAACTCCAACTGTCGAGAGAATGACACTCGTCAAGCCGCAGTTTAAGCCCTGTCAGCAGGCGCTGTGTCAGCCTTGTGCCACAAGCTTCAGTGAGCTCCTACACAAAGATGATGTCACTTTGACTGCTAGCTCGCTCACTGCAGTCTGGTGTATGATGTTATGACTCCCAGATGTTTCGCCCAGTCGTCTCTGCCACGACTCGCTCCACAACTCACTCCACGCTCGCCGGCAGTACCAGTCGAGAAGTGTCCTTCTGAGTCGCTTGCCAGAAGTCCTGCCCAGTTGCCGAGTTTTGACGACGCCTCACTTGAGGGCACCAGCACGTCGTGCCCCAGGTTGAGTGAAACCTGCAGTGACTCCTACGATGACTGCTTCGTCATTCTAGAGGAGACCGTAACCCGTTACGTCACAGCTCAGCCACAGCGATGTCTCCTGTGTTGCAGTATCTGTCCAGATGCAGGAAGGCATGCAGTGATGCCCTTCGAAGCTCACTGCCTATGACCACGATGTTTAGCACACCCCACATATTTTTTTCTTCCCTCCCTGTAGGAAGTTTTTTTTTCCATGTCCATATGTATATATTTTATTTTATTATTATCACACTGGCCGATTCCCACCAAGGCAGGGTGGCCCGAAAAAGAAAAACTTTCACCATCATTCACTCCATCAGTCTTGCCAGAAGGGTGCTTTACACTACAGTTTTTAAACTGCAACATTAACACCCCTCCTTCAGAGTGCAGGCACTGTACTTCCCATCTCCAGGACTCAAGTCCGGCCTGCCGGTTTCCCTGAATCCCTTCATAAATGTTACTTTGCTCACACTCCAACAGCACGTCAAGTATTAAAAACCATTTGTCTCCATTCACTCCTATCAAACACGCTCACGCATGCCTGCTGGAAGTCCAAGCCCCTCGCACAAAAAACCTCCTTTACACCCCTCCCTCCAACCTTTCCTAGGCCGACCCCTACCCCGCCTTCCTTCCACTACAGACTGATACACTCTTGAAGTCATTCTGTTTCGCTCCATTCTCTCTACATGTCCGAACCACCTCAACAACCCTTCCTCAGCCCTCTGGACAACAGTTTTGGTAATCCCGCACCTCCTCCTAACTTCCAAACTACGAATTCTCTGCATTATATTCACACCACACATTGCCCTCAGACATGACATCTCCACTGCCTCCAGCCTTCTCCTCGCTGCAACATTCATCACCCACGCTTCACACCCATATAAGAGCGTTGGTAAAACTATACTCTCATACATTCCCCTCTTTGCCTCCAAGGACAAAGTTCTTTGTCTCCACAGACTCCTAAGTGCACCACTCACTCTTTTTTTCCTCATCAATTCTATGATTCACCTCATCTTTCATAGACCCATCCGCTGACACGTCCACTCCCAAATATCTGAATACGTTCACCTCCTCCATACTCTCTCCCTTCAATCTGATATCCAATCTTTCATCACCTAATCTTTTTGTTATCCTCATAACCTTACTCTTTCCTGTATTCACCTTTAATTTTCTTCTTTTGCACACCCTACCAAATTCATCCACCAATCTCTGCAACTTCTCTTCAGAATCTCCCAAGAGCACAGTGTCATCAGCAAAGAGCAGCTGTGACAACTCCCACTTTGTGTGTGATTCTTTATCTTTTAACTCCACGCCTCTTGCCAAGACCCTCGCATTTACTTCTCTTACAACCCCATCTATAAATATATTAAACAACCACGGTGACATCACACATCCTTGTCTAAGGCCTACTTTTACTGGGAAAAAATTTCCCTCTTTCCTACATACTCTAACTTGAGCCTCACTATCCTCGTATATATGTACATGTTTTTTATTTTGTGTTCTGTGCCCTGTTCCTACGAGAGAGAAACCGAGTTTTCTTTTTACCACCAGTATTGTTGCGTCGGGACAACGCGAGGTAGGTGGCCGAGCAAATGTAGACAGCCTGTACTGTCTGCACAGACAGCCTATGCTGTCTGCCAGCTTAGTTCATATTTTGCGGCACTCAGGTGCTGCCCTCTAGGCCTTCCCAGGTCAGTGGGACACTGGTCCCACTCGCCCTCACTCTCTCAGCGGCCTAGAAGCAGACAACAAGTCTACTCCCTCTCTCCTTTGTGGGCATGGCCCTCCCGGGCCATGGGCACTTAACACACAAGCCTGTGAACCCATCACGACTTTGCAAATAAAGTATGAAACCTCCGAAGATGTATCACTTACTCCCCGCTACCAGAAACACCAAATAATCCAGTTCACACATCGAAGAAGGGCACCTCACAGTCACGAAGCCACTGAACAACAGATAGATTTCTAAGTGTGGTAAGGAGCACTGTCTTGCTTGAAAACATTGCACCACACTGTTTGAAAGATTTGTGCAAATGATAACAGAGCATTTCTAGGTATGGTATGATGCTAACATTAGTGAGGATGTTTTTTCTAGACTCCCCTTGATGCACTTTTGCTGTGGGCATGTCAACACTGTCCTCAAGGAACTGACACAACCAGGTCCTCACTGAATTCTCATGTATATTGAAAGTTTCTACTATTACCTTCATTTGATAGTTTGCCTAAAGAACTCCAATGGCCTGCGCAATCAAGCCAGCAACTTACTCCTACCCATATTAATTTGTCTATGACCAAAGATGTCTGACCAATTTAGCCCTCAAGACCACACAACAGAGGGACCACAGACACAAGGCCATCCACCACACAAGCCAGGATGTATCCAGTAGCCTTAGGGAATCCCGTAAAAGTCCATTTCATGTTGCCAGGCCACCATAATTTTTTTGTCCTACCCCAAAACCTACCAGGGCTGGGTATTACTTTAGACATTAAAGTATGCTGGGTGCCATCTACTCAGCATACTTTAATGAAGAGCACTATATACCTAACATATGTAAGACATATTCAGGAAAAAGCAAGGGAAAATTCCTGCCATTACTGCAATGCATATGAATGTATCATATATTGGACTTACGCAGGAAAAAGTGAGCAGAAATCACTGCCAAAGCTGATGATGTTGAAGAAGCAGCCGATGGGTAAACTCTTGAGGAAGAGCAGCAGTGTTGCTCGAGCACTCTGGATCTTCTCACCTCCCATGCTTCCTACAGTATATATAAACAAATGAATAAATATATACATAAATATATAAATAATTTTTTAATGCATTGGCTGTCTCCCACCAAGGTAGTGTGACCTAAAAAGAAAAACAAAAGTTTTCCTTTTTAGGTCACTCATATCTCCCGTGCAGGAGTTCATAGGTTCAAACATAAAGCACAGACATCAGCAGAAGATGAGTGATGGTAGACTTTTAAGGATACACAGAAATGAAAGACAAGGCATTAAAACCGAAGGCAGACACCCAGTGTCAAATTCAAATTCAAACTTTTATTTCTTTTATGTAATACACAGATAATGTAGTTTGCAAGAAATAAAATACTGTTAGGTACAAAAAGAAAGCCATTAGTGTGCAATGTATTTCGAGCAATGCAATGCAGTTCAGGAAAAAAGGAAAGGAATACAATGTACAGTAGATTATCATTATCATGAGGGCAAATTAAACCCAAAGAAGTTGTACAGTGCCTGGGGAACAGAAGATAATCAGATTAGACCTGAGGAAGGGAAGGGTAATTTCACGTCCTTGGATCAAAAACCCTTTCGGCAACATCAAAGAACTTCCTACAAAAAAAAATATGTGGAGCACTGCATGTGGGATGCCTTTAATGGTATGAGGGTTATAGTATTGTTAACCCTTTCAGGGATTCGGCCGTACTAGTACAGCTTATGCACCAGGGTTTTTGACGTACTAGTACGCCTAAATTCTAGTGCCCTCAAATCTAGTGAGAGAAAGCTGGTAGGCCTACATATGAAAGAATGGGTCTATGTGGTCAGTGTGCATGGTATAAAAAAAATCCTGCAGCACACAGTGCGTAATGAGAAAAAAAAAAACTTTGACCGTGTTTTTGGATTAAAACAGCGACTTTGCACTGTATTTTCGTATGGTATTTATTGTTGTATTCTAGTTTTCTTGATCTCATTTTATAGAATGGAAGACATATTACAGAAATTGAGATGATTCTGACTGGTTTTACAAAGAAAACTACCTTGAAATTGCGCTCAAAGTAGCAGAAATGTTCGATTTTTACCAAAGATCAAAAGTAAACAAATCATGCCAAGCGTCCAATACACGTCAACTGGTTTTTTTTTTTTATTTATTTATTTCCAATTTGTGCACACATACAGAGGTACAAAAAAAATACAGATAAGAGCAGTATGCCAAAGCCACTTATACTATGCATAGCATTACGGGCTGGCTTAAAATTAACTTAAGATTAACTAAGCAATGATTATTATTATTATTATAATCAAAAAGAAGCGCTAAGCCACAAGGACTATACAGCGCTGCTACTGCTACTGGTGAGTCTAATATTCTTTCACAAGTGCGCTGATAATATTTATACCATTTCTACTTCAATGCAGTAGTCTGCATAACAGTAAATCTTCTATTTTTTTTGTGAGAATAAAAATTCAAAGTGGAAAGCAAAAGAATGTAAGAGGGGCATGGGGACATGACTAATGAACAGAGGAAATGTTATTTTAGTGCCAGGAATGTCTTTCTTGTTAATTCTGGACCCTATTCGGAAATTGGCATCTTTTGAAATTTGTGTGAAATTGGAAAAATTGCTAAATTCTGACCACTGTATTGAATAGTTGAAATTGGTAAATGGGTGGTTTCTTGTACTCATTCAATAGAAAAAATGGAGTTCTAGCGAAATAGTTATGATTTTTGTCAACAAGTACACTGGAATTGGCCAAAAATAGGGCTCAAAGTGGGCAAAATCACAGATGCATAAACATCGTCGAGACCACTAACTTCGCGAGAGCATAATTCGGTAAGTTTTCCATCAAATTTCATACTTTTGGTGTCATTATGATCGGGAAAAGATTCTCTATCTTTTCATAATTTTTTTTTTTTTTTTTTTTTTTTTTTGAAATTTGGCCGACCCTGAGAACAAGTTTCTGAGAGGGCCTGTCGACCCTGAAAGGGTTAAAAAGCACTTCATCTCCTTAATGTAACTAAACCAGCATTATGAACTACCAGGCTCAACCATTCATCCAACTCTATCCCTGCTCTTCCAGTCTTCCTCAAACTCCCACAGAAAATTAATTACTCATTTTGTTCCATTATATCTCTACTGAAACTAACTACCTCTATCTTCACCATCTCATTCTATCATTCCATGAACTAAAGACTTCGAGTCGGTTTGAAACTGCTTAAGAAATCCCTCTTAACTGGAGATCACTGAATCAGTTTGAAGTATTAACACATACTTAAAATTGTACTATTGTTCATCTGTCTACCTTTCATTTTTGTGTGCATTTAAAAATTCCTACTCGATAACCCACGTCTCGTTCTTAAGTAGTCTTTAAGCATTAGGATTAGCCTGCCTGAAATGCACCACATGCTAGTGGCTTTCTTTTGTGGCTTTTCTTTGGTGGCTAAAGCTCCCGCTTCACACACGGAGGGCCCGGGTTCGATTCCCGGCGGGTGGAAACATTTCGACACGTTTCCTTACACCTATTGTCCTGTTCACCTAGCAGCAAATAGGTACCTGGGTGTTAGTCGACTGGTGTGGGTCGCATCCTGGGGGACAAGATTAAGGACCCCAATGGAAATAAGTTAGACAGTCCTCGATGACGCACTGACTTTCTTGGGTTATCCTGGGTGGCTAACCCTCCGGGGTTAAAAATCCGAACGAAATCTTATCTTATCTTATCTTACCTGTATACTGCAGAAAATAATTAAATTTATTATTTTTTTTTTTTAACACACTGACCATCTCTCACCAAGGCAGAATGATCCAAAAAAGAAATACTTTCACCATCATTCACACTATCACTGTCTTGCCAGAGGACTGCAGATATAACAGTTTAGAGGGCAGTCTAAACAGCAAATATCCCAAAGTCCTCCTTTAGAGTGCAGGCATTTTACCTCCCCCTGCTCACACTAGAAAAACCATTCATCTCCATTCCTAACACATTCACACATGACTGCTGTATGTCCAAGCCCCTTGCACATAAAACCTCCTTTCCCCCCCCCCCTTCCCTCCATCTTAGACCATGTTTAGAAGCCTTCCTGTCATATGCACCCATTTATTTCCTATTTTGTTAGAAAGTTTATCAGTTCTAAACCTCTCACATATGCCACTTTTACACTCAAATGAAAATTAATTTAAAAATATACACTAGTGTTTTGTACAACCATTTACCAAAGAATAATTCCAATGTATTGAACCACAAGTATTAAAGCTTACCTGAACGATCAATTACAAAAATGATCTCATTTTTGTTGGAATAACTCTTGGATGGAACCTCAGGAAAAAGATTGAGCATAATCAGATCATCTTTCATTAGTCCTGTGGTAGAGCGGTCACCAGTTTCACGGATTATGTGAGTCTTGTAGGGATTAGCATAGTAGATCAGGAGACTCCAGTCATGATCACTCTTGAAACCCCCATCCTGTGTTACCTGTTAAAACAACATCAAATAAGCATCTTTATATATGGCCCTTCCCATTTATGTTTCCATCCATCAACCGTAAAATGCATTGACAAAAATAACAAAATAAATGCACTTCTAATAAACAAAGGACAGATGGGGGGATAGGGAGCAATGATGCTGGTGAAAGGCCCTTGACTAAAGGCCCTACCTTAAGACTACAAGGACAATAAACATTAAATATTTATATTTCTTTCTAGGTAGTAGGTTGGTAGACAGCAACCGCCCAGGGAGGTACTACCGTCCTGCCAAGTGAGTGTAAAACTGAAGCCTGTAATTGTTTTACACGATGGTAGGATTGCTGGTGTCTTTTTTTTTCTGTCTCATAAACATGCAAGATTTCAGGTACGTCTTGCTACTTCTACTTACACTTAGGTCACACTACACATACATGTACAAGCATATATATACACACCCCTTTGGGTTTTCTTCTATTTTCTTTCTAGTTCTTGTTCTTGTTTATTTCCTCTTACCTCCATGGGGAAGTGGAACAGAATTCTTCCTCCGTAAGCCATGCATGTTGTAAGAGGCTACTAAAATGCCGGGAGCAAGGGGCTAGTAACCCCTTCTCCTGTATATATTACTAAATGTAAAAGGAGAAACTTTCGTTTTTCCTTTTGGGCCACCCCGCCTCGGTGGGATATGGCCGGTGTGTTGAAAGAAAGAAAGAAGATTTATATTTCTTCTTCTTTCAACAAACCAGCCATATCCAACCGAGGAAGGGTTTACCTGGAGTTTACCTGGAGAGGGTTTCGGGGGTCAACGCCCCTGTGGCCCGGTCTGAGACCAGGCCTCATGGTGGATCAGGGTCTGATCAACCAGGCTGTTACTGCTGGCCGCACGCAAGCTTACATACGAACCACAGCCCGGTTGGTCAGGTACTGACTTTAGGTGCCTGTCCAGTGCCTTCTTGAAGACAGCCAGGGGTCTATTGGTAATCCCCCTTATGTATGCTGGGAAGCCACTCAACAGTCTTGGGCCCGAGACACTTATTGTGTTGTCTCTCAGTGTACTTGTGGCACCCCTGCTTTTCATCGGGGGAATGTTGCATCTCCTGCCAAGTCTTTTGCTTTCATATGGAGTGATTTTCGTGTGCAAGTTTGGTACCAATCCCTCCAGGACCTTCTAAGTGTATATTATCATGTATCTCTATTGCCTGCGTTCAAGGGAATACAGATCAAGGACCTTCAACCGTTTCCAGTAGTTTAGGTGCCTTATCGCACTTGTGTGTGCCATAAAAGTTCTTTGTACACTCTCCAGGTCTGCAATGTCGCCAGCCTTGAAGGAGGCCGGTAGTGTACAACAGTATTCCAGCCTAGAGAGCACAAGCGATTTGAAGAGAATCATCATGGGCTTGGCGTCCCTAGTTTTGAAGATTCTCATTATCCATCCTATCATTTTCCTAGCGGATGAGGTAGATACATTGTTGTGGTCTTTGAAGGCGAGATTCTCTGACATTATCACTCCCAGGTCCTTCACATTACTTTTCCACTCTATTGTATGGTTAGAATTTGTGGTATACCCTGACACATTTTCAGTTTCTTCAAGTTTTCCATATCTGAGTAGTTGAAATTTCTCCTCGTTGAACTTCATATTGTTTTGAGTGGCCCATTCGAAGATTTGTTTGATGTCCGCTTGGAGTCTCGTAGTGTCTTTGATGGAGGTCACTGCCATGGTAATCTGGGTGTCATCCGCAAAAGAAGACACGGAGCTATGGCTTACATCTCTGTCTATGTCAGAAATGAGGATGAGGAATAGAATGGGAGCGAGTACTGTGCCTTGTGGAACACAGCTTTTCACCATGGCTGCCTGGGACTTTATTCTGTTTACTGTTACTCTTTGTGTTCTATTTGTCAGGAAGTTGTAGATCCATCTACCAACTTTTCCAGTTATTCCTTTATGACGCATTTTGTGTGCTATTACACCATGGTCACACTTGTCGAAAGCTTTTGCAAAGTCTGTGTATACTACAGCTGTATTTTGTTTCCCTTTTTAACTTTAATAATGTATACAGGAGAAGGGGTTACTAGCCGCTTGCTCCTGGCATTTTAGTCCCCTCTTACGACATGCATGGCTTATGGAGGAAGAATTATGTTCCACTTCCCCCATGGAGATAGACAAGAACAAGAACTAGTAAGAAAATAGAAGAAAACCCAGAGGGGTGTGTATATACATGGTTGGAGGGATATGTTGTGTATCTTTATACGTATATGCTTCTAAACTGTTGTGTTCTGAGCACCTCTGCAAAAACAGTAATTATGTGTGAGTGAGGTGAAAGTGTGGAATGATGATGAAAGTATTTTCTTTTTGGGGATCTTCTTTCTTTTTTGGGTCACCCTGCCTTGGTGGGAGATGGCCGACTTGTTAAAAAAAAAAAAAAAAAAAACATGTATGTGTAATGTGGCCTAAGTGTAAGTTGAAGTAGCAAGACGTACCTGAAATTTTGCATGTTTATGAGACAGAAAAAAAGACACCAACAATCCTACCATCATGTAAAACAATTACAGGCTTTCATTTTACATTCACTTGGCAGGACGGTAGTACCTCCCTGGGCAGTTGCTGTCTGCCAACCTACTACCTAGGATATTTATATTTAAGGACATTAAATGCATACAAATAAGAATGAATCAATGAGTATATCATGAAAGTATATGAAAATATATTAATATATATGTGCTATATCATACCATGTATATTTATTTATCCCCCTTTTCATAAAGTATGTATTACTTATTACCAAACCTCTTTCTACACATAGCTCAATTAAAGGCTCCCCATTTACATTTACCCCTGGCACCCCAAATTTACCTACTACTCCCTCCACAACATTTTTACCTACTTTAGCATTGAAATCCCCAACCACCATTACTCTCACACTTGGTTCAAATCTCCCCACGCATTCACTCAACATTTCCCAAAATCTCTCTCTCCTCCACTCTTCTCTCTTCTCCAGGTGCATATACTCTTACTATAACCCACTTTTCACATCCAACCTTTATTTTACTCCACATAATCCTTGAATTAATACATTTATATTCCCTCTTTTCCTGCCATAGCTGACTTTTACAACACGCATGGCTTACGGAGGAAAGATTCTTATTCCACTTCCCCAAGGATATAAAAGGAAATGTAATAAGAACAAGAACTATTAAGATAAAATCAAAGAAAACTCAGATGAGTGTGTATAAATAAACATGTACATGTATGTGTAGTGTGACCTAAGTGTAAGTAGAAGTAGCAAGACGTACCTGTAATCTTGCATGTTTATGAGACAGACAAAAGACATCAGCAATCTTACCATCATGTAAAACAATTACAGGCTTTCGTTTTACACTCACATGGCAGGACAGTAGTACCCCCTTGGGTGGTTGCTGTCTACCAACCTACTACCTAGTATTATTATTATTATTATTATTGTCATAATTATTATTATCAGTAGTATGTACGTGGTGATGGGCTACTCATCTGTTGAATTGGATCTGTGCTCCAGTTCCCTAAATTAATAATAATAATAATAATAATAATAATAATAATAATAATAATAATAATAATAATAATAATAATAATAATAATACAATATAATAGTAATAATAATATGTCAATTTTAGACATTTTTTTTATTTTTTTTTTTTCATATTTTTGTGACAAATGCTTCTAAATAAAAATTGGTAACCCTCTGGGTGGCTGTAGGTACAGCTGCTATGACCATGGCTACCTCAGTGCTGACCAAGAGTCAAAAGGAAAAGGAGGCGCAGCAGACCCTTGGGATGCGTAATTTTGTCTTATAGTGTACAAATTTCTTACACAATGCCTCACCCAAAGAGACAGTATTTGCGTACAATCAGCAAGAAGCGATTAGAAACTATGAAAAAAGCTAGAGAAATGAAGAAGGCAGCAGCATAGAGAGAGGCAGCTGGCCGCCACCACCACTGTGGCCACCGCCACCACCACCACCACCACTGTGGATGCCGCCACCACTACCACCACTGTGGCCACAGTGATCATGTCTTCACCTATACATGTATATACATTTGTCTTGACCACACCTGTGGTTACGTATGTGACAACCTCACCAGTAATCATAAATAAACACAAGCTAGGTGTGGGGTTATGGACTGGGAAGATACTAGAGTGAGAGAGTTAATGGCAGATGCTTTTTGCCGCTGCCGGTGTCACCATCACTTGCCATATTATGGCCTATTTTATTCATTCTAGAGTATATGTTTCTGTGTTATTAACCCTTTGACTGTCGCAACCCCCAATCCTGAGGTGTCTCCTGGTGTCGCAAAATTTAAAAAAAAAAAAAAAAATTTTCTTATGAAATGAGAGAGAATCTTTTCCCGATTGTAATGACACCAAAAAAACGAAATTTGATGGAAAACTGACGGAATTATGCTCTCGCGAAGTTAGCAACCTCGGCGCTGTTTACAAATCGGCGATTTCGCCCACTTTGAGCCCTATTTTCGGCTAATTCCATTGTTCCAGTCGCCCAAACTCATAGCTATTTCTTTAGAACTCCATTTTTTCTATCGATTGAGTACAAGAAACTGCCTATTTACCGATTTCAACTACCTAATAATGTGGTCAGAAATTTGTAATTTGGCCAATTTCACGAAAACTAAAAAATATGACAATTTCAAAATAAGGTCCAGAATGAACAATGCAGGCATTCCTGGCTCTAAAATAACATTTTCTTTGTTCATCAGTCATATCTCCAGGCCCCTCTGATATTACTCTTGCTTTCTATTTTGAATTTTTATTCAAACAAAAAATAGAAGACTTACTATTATGCAGACTACTGCAATACTGTAATAATTGTATAAATAACATCAACCTATTCATTACTGCATATTAGAATGGCTAGTTGTATATTTATTGCACAATGGCATCATTTGTTTACTTTTGAACATTGGCAAAAATCAAACATTTCCCCTACTTTGAGCTCCATTTCTAGGTTCTTTTTATAGTAAAAGCAATCAAAATCACCTCTATTTCTATAATATGTTTTCCATTCTATCAAATGAGACCAAGAAAACGAGAATACAACCATAAATACTATACGAAAATAGACCACAAAGTAGGCATTTTAATTAAAAAAAACGGTCGGAGTTTTTTTTTCTCATTATGCACTGCGTGCTCCAGGATTTTTTTTACATGGTGCACACTGACCACACAGCCCCATTCTCTCACATGTGGGCCTACCAGCTTTCTCCTGCTTGATTTGAAGCCGCTAGAATTTATGAGTATATACACGTCAAACACGGTACCTCGTAAGACGTATATATACGGCCGCAACAGTCAAAGGGTTAATATTGTTTATTATGTCATATTAGATGAATTGTGATAGATAACTAAGCTGTATTTAGGTAGTAGGTTGGTAGACAGTAACCGTCCAGGGAGGTACTACTGTCCTGCCAAGTGAGTGTAAAACTGAAGCCTGTAATTGTTTTACATGATGGTAGAATTGCTGGTGTCTTTTTTTTCTGTCTCATGAACATGCAAGATTTCAGGTACGTCTTGCTACTTCTATTTACACTTAGGTCACACTACACATACATGTACAGTGGACCCCCGGTATTCGATGGCATCGGTATTCGATAAATCCGGTATTCAATACATTTTATCGCAAAAAATTTTCCTCAGTATTGAAAACCCGGTATTCGATACGATTCGTACGAGACGTGTCCACGTGTGGCCTGAACTGCCCCTTGTGTGCCAGTGTTTACAAGCCAGCCAGTGTGCACGCATCTAAGGATACATTCGGTACATTCCATATTATCCATATTATCACTGTGTTTGGTTCTTGTTTCTGCAAAATAAGTCACCATGGGCCCCAAGAAAGCTTCTAGTGCCAACCCTTCAAGAAAAAAGTCGCTAATGACTTAAGAAATGAAGAAAGAGATAATTGCAAAGTACGAAAGTGGAGTGCGTGTGTCGGAGCTGGTTAGGTTGTATAATAAACCCCAGTCAACCATCTCTACTATAGTGACCAGGAAAACGGCAATCAAGGAAGCTGTTCTTGCAAAAGGTGCAACTGTGATTACGAAACAGCGACCGCAAGTGTTAGAAAATGCTGAGAGATTGTTATTGGTGTGGATAAATGAAAAACAGATAGCAGGAGATAGCATCTCTCAAGCGATCATAAGTGAAAAGGCTAGGCAGTTGCATGACGATTTGGAAAAGAGATTGCCTGCAAATAGTGGTGATGTGAGTGAATTTAAGGCCAGCAAAGGTTGGTTTGAAAGATTTAAGAATCATAGTGGCATACATAGTGTGATTAGGCATGGTGAGGCTGCCAGTTTGGACCAAAAAGCAGCTGAAAAATATGTGAAGGAATTCAAGGATTACATAGACAGTGAAGGACTGAAACCTGAACAAGTGTTTAATTGCGATGAAACAGGCCTGTTTTGGAAGAAAATGCCAGCAGGACCTACATTACTCAGGGGGAAAAGGCACTCCCAGGACATAAGCCTATGAAAGACAGGCTTACTCTGTTGATGTGTGCCAATGCTAGTGGTGATTGCAAAGTGAAGCCTTTATTAGTGTATCACTCAGAAACTCCCAGAGTGTTCAGGAAAAACAATGTCCTCAAGGCTAATTTGTGTGTGCTGTGGAGGGCAAACAGTAAGGCATGGGCCACTAAGGACTTTTTCTATGACTGGTTACACCATGCATTTGCCCCCAATGTGAAAAATTACCTAACTGAAAAGATATTAGACCTTAAGTGCCTCCTGGTATTAGACAATGCCCCTGGCCATCCTACAGACTTGTCAGAGCGACTTTCTGGGGACATGAGCTTCATTAAGGTCAAGTTTTTGCCTCCTAATACCACTCCTCTCCTGCAGTCCATGGACCAGCAGGTCATTTCCAACTTCAAGAAACTGTACACAAAAGCTATGTTTCAAAAGTGCTTTATAGTGACCACAGAAACTCAACTGACTCTAAAAGAGCTTTGGAAGGATCACTTTAATATCCTCAATTGTATAAACCTGATAGGTACGGCTTGGGAGGGAGTGACTAAGAGGACCTTGAACTCTGCTTGGAAGAAACTGTGGCCAGAATGTATAGACAAAAGGGATTTTGAAGGATTTGAGGCTAACCCTGAGAATCCTATGCCAGTTGAGGAATCCATTGTGGCATTGGGGAAGTCCTTGGGGTTGGAGGTTAGTGGGGAGGATGTGGAAGAGTTGGTGGAGGAGGACAGTGAAGAACTAACCACTGATGAGCTGATAGATCATCTTCAACAGCAAGAGGGCAGACCTGAGGAAACTGCTTCGGAGGAGGGGATAGAGAAATTGAAGAAGTTGCCTACTTCAAAGATTAAGGAAATGTGTGCAATGTGGCTTAAAGTGCAAACCTTTTTGGATGACAATCACCCTAACACAGCTATTGCAAGCCGTGCTGGTGACTATTACACTAACAATGTTGTGAAACACTTTAGGGATGCCATAAAGGAACGGAAGGTACAGGCCACTATGGACAGATATGTTGTGCGACAGAAATCCAGTGACTCTGAAGCTGGTCCTAGTGGCATTAAAAGAAGAAGGGAAGTAACCCCGGAAAAGGACTTGCTACCTCAAGTCCTAATGGAAGGGGATTCCCCTTCTAAACACTAACACCTCTCCCCTCCTCCCATCCCATCAATCATCACCAGATCTTCATTAAAGGTAAGTGTCAATTATTTTATTATTATTCTATTGCATTAAACTTAATATTCCATGTAGTAAAATTTTTTTTTCATACTTTTGGGTGTCTTGCACGGATTAATTTGATTTCCATTATTTCTTATGAGGAAAATTGATTCGGTTTTCGATATTATCGGTATTCGATGAGCTCTCAGGAATGGATTAATATCGAATACCGGGGGTCCACTGTACAAGCATATATATACACACACCCCATTGAGTTTTCTTCTATTTTCTTTCTAGTTCTTATTCTTGTTTATTTCCTCTTATCTCCATGGGGAAGCGGAACAGAATTCTTCCTCCGTAAGCCACGCGTGTTGTAAGAGGCGACTAACATGCCAGGAGCAAGGGGCTAGTAACCTCTTCTCCTGTATATATTACTATATGTAAAAAGAAAAACTGTCATTTTTTCTTTTGGGCCACCCCGTGCCTTGGTGGGATACGGCCAGTGTGTTGAAAGAAAGAACTAAGCTGTAGAGTTGATATTAGCATTATTTTGTCATGCCTCCTTAGAGGCTGGAATTTATTAATTGCATTTCAATTAATTTAAATGAGGGAAATTGACTCAGAATACGAACAAATCAGGATACAAACAAGGTCACAGAAAGGATTAAATTCATAAGCCAAGGTTCCACTGTACAGTGTATTGTACTTAAACAAAAAAATTTCTGCAACATTTCTAAAGGGAATGGTCTATATGCCAGTGAGGGGCTCTTGATCCAAGAAAATAGGCCTATCATTCCTTACCTTTGACTGAACTTGATTGTTTCCTCTTCCCCTTGTACAGTATCATTACTATAGTATCACCACTACAATAATAATAATCTTCATGGACCAAAAATTCACTTGATATAAACTAGTAATTTAATTTATGTATATGAGCACTTGTGTGCTCCTTTATAAATATATATCTTGAATACAGTGCATTGAAACATTTCATAAAAGTTAGAAAACTCACTTGTGCAGATTTGAGATCATCACTAATGGCGACATTGAGAGAATCAGTGTGCGAGATGACTCGCCCTATATCGTGACCTCCTGTTATGTCACACTTGATATCAATGACATATGCTTTGGGTACAGTAACTATCCTTGCTATATGAACATCACTGCCAAAACCTGGAGCTATTTGCATAAACCAAAGAAATACAGTTTTTAATGTTTATGTGATTTATATATGAGAGAATATAAAAATACAATTGATACAGCAAAAAAAAAATATATGGTACATATAAACGAATAGATATTACTACCCTAGGTAGTAGGTTGGTAGACAGCAACCACCCAGGGAGGTACTACCGTCCTGCCAAGTGAGTGTAAAACGGAAACCTGTAATTGTTTTACATGATGGTAGGATTGCTGGTGTCCATTTTTCTGTCTCATAAACATACAAGATTTCAGGTGCATCTTGCTACTTCTACTTACACTTAGGTCATACTACACATACATGTACAAGCATATATGTATATACACACCCCTCTGGGTTTTCTTCCATTTTTCTTACTAGTTCTTGTTCTTGTTTATTTCCTCTTACCTCCATGGGGAAGTGGAACAGAATTCTTCCTCCGTAAGCCATGTGTGTTGTAAGAGGCGACTAAAATGCTGGGAGCAAGGGGCTAGTAACCTCTTCTCCTGTATATATTACTAAATGTAAAAGGAGAAACTTTCGTTTTTCCTTTTGGGCCACCCCACCTCGGTGGGATACGGCCGGTGTGTTGAAAGAAGGAAAGAAAGATATTACTACATGTAAAAAGAAAAATTTTTGTTTTCTGTTTAGGTCACTCTGCCTTGGTGTGGGATGGCTGATACACTGAACAAAATGGATAGATTTATAATATTTCTTTTTCTTTCAACAAACCGGCCGTATCCCACCGAGGCAGGGTGGCTCAAAAAGAAAAACAAAAGTTTCTCTTTTTAAATTTAGTAATTTATACAGAAGAAGGGGTTACTAGCCCCTTGCTCCTGGCATTTTAGTCGCCTCCTACAACACACATGGCTTACGGAGGAAGAATTCTGTTCCACTTTCCCATGGAGATAAGAGGAAATAAACAAGAACAACAACTAGTAAGAAAAATGGAAGAAAACCCAGAGGGGTGTGTATATATATGCTTGTACATGTATGTGTAGTGTGACCTAAGTGTAAGTAGAAGTAGCAAGACGTACCTGAAACCTTGCATGTTTACGAGACAGAAAAATGGACACCAGCAATCCTACCATCATGTAAAACAATTACAGGCTTTCATTTTACATTCACTTGGCAGGATGGTAGTACCTCCCTGGGCGGTTGCTGTCTACCAACCTACTACCTAGGAGATTTATAATATATATATAAATAAACTTTTTTCCATAAATGGAGCAATCAGCATCTCAAAAGAGGAGAGCTGAAAATAATAACAAATGACTTTAGGGCAGAGAAGAGCCTTACAAACAAAAGCTACTTTCACTCATAAAAATACTCTTCTGTATTAACATCTTCCCTTTTAAACCAGGTGAGATATTAGAGCTAGAAAACTTCAAATAAACAGGGATCCTTGAATGAATGCTGAAAATTAGCAGAGAATCTAAAGTATTGAGGTTGCCTCAAAGAATGCAGTGTTTATTGGACCCTAAGTAACAAAGCCATGAGACTTCTCTCATATGCTAAAAGTGGAAAATACATGAAGGACTGACCCCAATATAGCGGAAACACAAGTAAAACGCTTTACAAGGAAACTACTAATTATTTACACAGTGCAAAATTTTGTACAGATGATTAACCAACTGAGTATGCAGGCTGCAAACAACAACCTGAATGATTAAACCATGGAATTGGTGGGGTTTGAAACCATGGGAGGTGTGTCCTACAACTCCGGGCCAGTGCGTAAAACTCATCCAACTAGGTATATTTCTACACACCATAGGGAAGTTAGCATGGGCCACTACTGTGACCACAAATGCAAATACATATTTACAAATGAATCCCACACCAGGTAGCTGTGGTGAGCTCTACCTCAAGTCTCCTGTGGTGAACTCTAGCTAGAGTTCACCACAGGCACGCTGGTGGGATATTCATCTATAAAAACTTGTATTCGTGGTCACAGTGTGACCCATGCTCACTTCTCTATGGTGTATAGAAATAAATCTAATTGGATGAATCTTGTTAAAGCCAGCTGACCCAATGGCTTATGTACTGAATGATTAAAATACAGAGAAGCTTGGCTTCCAGCTGGGCAGCAGGGGTAACACTCAGCCCATCACAAGTAAATGACAGGGATCAATTTATTGTTGTTTTAACCCCAGGTCTACCAATCTTTTGACTACTTATTTCAAACAAGTTATTTCTGAATGATACAAGTAAAATTCAATATTTATAAGAAAAGTGTACAGCTTGTTCTTACCACTGACATCTGTAATCAATGAGGGGCTATACCGAGGGTTGAGAACTGTTGGCAGCACAAACTTCACTCCGCCATCAACCTGTACTTTCAGCTCCATCACAAGGCTGATGGTCAGTTCAGCTTTTGAGCCTGAAATATAGCATATACGTTATCCTTTTTTTTTATCACACTGGCCATATTTCACTGAAGTAGTCATTTCTACAGGAGAAGGGATTACTAGCCCCTTGCTCCCGGTACTTTAGTCACCTCTTACAACACACACAGCTTACAGAAAGAGAATTCTTTTCCACTTTCCCACGGACTTTACTTTGTATAAATATACATATTTAACTAAACAAAGTAAAGAGTTTTGCAAATTCTTAACAGTATTTTTTTTTGTGTCTCTCGTTTAATGCTGCAATGTGTTCCAGATATATGACAGATGTGCTAAACTCAATTAGATCATAAATATTTGTTAACATAGAAGACTCTTCAACATATTTTGTGAACTGTACAAGTAGCACAGAGAAAACTTATATTGCATATACAGAATTAACAACAAAGACATCCAATAAAAGCAAATATGCATAAATATTGTGCACCCCATGAAGTAAGAGAACCTCTAATGTCTGATATATATTTTGTGTAACATAGATGTAATGTTTGGTATAATGCATGTAGCACAGGTGTTAACTAAAGAGTAAACTTTGTCTGAAATGCTGTGCATAACCAGAGACTTTTCAAAAATGTACAATGTCATGCAAAATACTGAACATTAGTTGGATTTTTGGGTAAATAAAACTGTTTGTCTGAAAGATAACTGACCTGCAGGGAGGTTGCCAAGGTTCAGATGCAACACATCTGAAGCATTTTCATCTTGTCGAGCCAACACTGCTGTTTTTCCAGCACTCACAGCCTCTTTGTACACTTTTTCTGCCTGCCAAATACAATAACGACAATTATAACATAAAGTTTAAAAAGCACAAAAAGGTTTGTGAGTACATAAAACCAAAGGTTGTAAAAATCCATGAATAACAATAGGGCCAGACCAGGCCACGGGGACACTGGCCCCTGAAACCCTCCTCAGGTATACTCCCTCTCCAGGTAATGTCATAAATAATCCTAAAAAACTGTTTACCTAGACGGTTGGAGGCAGTGGAGATGTCCTGTTTAAGGGCAATGTGTGGTGTAAATATTATGCAGAAAATTCGGAGTGTGGAAATTAGGAGAAGGTGTGGAGTTAATAAAAGTATTAGTCAGAGGGCAGAAGAGGGGTTGTTGAGGTGATTTGGTCATTTAGAGAGAATGGATCAAAGTAGAATGACATGGAAAGCATATAAATCTATAGGGGAAGGAAGGCGGGGTAGGGGTCATCCTCGAAAGGGTTGGAGAGAGGGGGTAAAGGAAGTTTTGTGGGTAAGGGGCTTGGACTTCCAGCAAGCGTGCGTGAGCGTGTTAGATAGGAGTGAATGGAGACGAATGGTACTTGGGACCTGACGATCTGTTGGAGTGTGAGCAGGGTAATATTTAGTGAAGGGATTCAGGGAAACCGGTTATTTTCATATAGTCGGACTTGAGTCCTGGAAATGGGAAGTACAATGCCTGCACTTTAAAGGAGGGGTTTGGGATATTGGCAGTTTGGAGGGATATGTTGTGTATCTTTATATGTGTATGCTTCTAGACTGTTGTATTCTGAGCACCTCTGCAAAAACAGTGATAATGTGCGAGTGTGGTGAAAGTGTTGAATGATGATGAAAGTATTTTCTTTTTGGGGATTTTCTTTCTTTTTTGGGTCACCCTGCCTCGGTGGGAGACGGCCGACTTGTTGAAAAAAAAAAAAAAAAAAAAAAAAAATCATTATGCTTATGTACACTTAAAGGGAATTCTTTGCTGAGGTCAAGGGATCCTGGTCATAGAAATTGTAAGTTGACTACCTTGCTTCAGATAAAAGATAAATACTTCCCTCCCCTCCTGCTTCCTCGTCTGTCAGCCCAAACAACAGATGCATTTTTCCCATTCATCTTAACCCCATGGGCAAGCCCAGGGGTGAGCCAAGGGTTTGAACAAGGAGGAGGCATCAGTGACTTTAACATTGCTAAGCCGTGACACTGTAACGGCTATATGCCATTGACAGACAATCATGATCCAAGGAATTGTACCTTCTCCCTCATTCCTCTGATCAAGCCTGATTGCCTTTCATTTACCAAAAGCTATATGATCCCTACAAATTTAGTGCCTCTTTTTTTTTTTTTTTTTTCAACAAGTCGGCCATCTCCCACATAGGCAGGGTGATCCAAAGAGAAAGAAAATCCCCAAAACAAAAATTCTTTCATCATCATTCAACAATTTCACCTCACTCGTACATAATCACTGTTTTTGCCGAGGCACACAGACACAACAGTTTAGAAGCATATATAAAGATACAATATAAAAAGTAACCTGAAATAATTACAATATCAGGGTCCCAATTATATATATACCGTCCTATTACACATCCCTCCAAACTGCCAATATCTCAAACCCCTCCTTTAAAGTGCAGGCATTGTACTTCCCATTTCCAGACCTCAAGTCCGGCTATATAAAAATAACCGGTTTCCCTGAATCCCTTCACTAAATATTACCCTGCTCACACTCCAACATCCTCCTTATCATTGTAATAATAAGTCTTAAGGTCAACAAATTTAGCATAAAAATCATAGATTTGTAATATACCTTTTTCTTTTCCATGCACTGTGTGTAAATTATTCGTCCATCCAAGCGAGCTTCAAATTTATACACAGCAGCACTTTCATCCACTGGAAGTCGGTAATGAACCTGTAATGATCAATCAAATCAAGTAAAGCTCAGTGTGTGTGTGCCAAAAATACATAATAAATACATGGAATTTAAACAGTGACCAAGTTGCAACCCTTCGTCTGGGGGACCTGGAATCAACAACATAGACCCTCTGTACAAATCTCATATGGCATCCTAGTACAACTCAATAAAAATAAAACATCTCTAGTTTTTTTTTTTCAACACATCAGCCGTCTCCCGCCAAGGCTGGGTGTGGAGAACTGGTTAGATAAGTACATACACTTTCCTGCATGAAACAAATATAAGACAAGTGCTACTTATTTTTTAACAGCACAATTTCCAGCAGCCTCTCCCTGGAAATCCCTTCGAAGCGTCGTATTAGTGTCCATAGTGGCTGTTGATTAACAAGTTTGTTATTCATATAATTTGCCCCAAAGGAGCGTATATCTCAGCATTTCACTATCATCTGAAATGCGCAGTGGTACTCACTTAGGTTTGGGTGAATCACCCACGTGTCAAATGATCTCTTGGTAATTCCAGTCAAATCTCACCTCTACCTATAAGCTGCAACTAATGTAATTAGATGTGGGTATGGCTGGATTTACCTGGATATTGTAACTGACCCAATTTTCCCTAATTTGCTGCAGGGGAGGTGTGACCCTCCAGTACTGATGTTCTGAGTAGGCTGCTACAGATGCACAGTTATGTCCTCACTCTTTGATTGGGAGTCACTTCGGTCATTCTTTACGCGATAGGGTGATATCTTGTCCCTTTGTTCAAAACACTTGAAAGCATACCGTGACACAAACTTTACACTTTATCAGGATTATACCACAGATTATACACTCATGTTTCTTTTTAACACTAGTTTTCCTAGCACACATTGGCAGTATTTCAGAGTTTACCTCACAAAGTCATTATTTTCTTTGTTCTCAGCAGGAGATTTGTGACGTGTCCATGCTCTGATATCTGAATTCAACCTAGCTTGTCGCCCTGCCCAAGTGCCCACCAGTTCATCGTCCCCACAAAAGAATCGCTGAGTTCAGTTTTATATCTCTTCCATACTACACATTGCAACATTATTCAATACAAGAGGGTAGGTTTCTTGTTATCTAGCTTTTTTTTTTTTTAACATGTCGGTTGTCTCCCACTGAGGCAGGGTGACCCAAAAAGAAAGAAAATCCCCAAAAATAAAATACTTTCATCATCATTCAACACTTTCACCTCACTCGTATATAATCACTGTCTTTGCAAAGGCACTCAGAAATCTCAGATATCAGATACCTAGCTATAGACTAAATTCATAATGTCCCAACTTGTAGATAAAGTGGGGTGCTGGTTTTCCCTTAATTAACCTAGTTGTTTAGTTAATCAGAAACTCTAGCGAGGAGAGGAAGGCGTGCCTCACAACACTATAGTATATACATGTATTCCTCATAAAACTGTTTGCGAGGAAGGAAGAGTCCACTAGCCCCTTCCGGGAGGGCTAAGTCCCTAAGAGGGCTGAGGGTGGGGGCTGAAAGATACCCCCTTTACTGGAGAATTTTCTCCACAGGGTGACCCAAAAAAAAGAAACTCTCACACCATCATCTACACATAATCACTGTCTTTGCAGAGATGCTCAGATACAACAGTTAAGATGTCATTCCAAACAGCCAATATCCCACACAGCTGCTGCTTCCCACAAATGCAGGGTGACCAAAAAAAGATAACACATTCACCATCATTCATTCAATTGCTGACTATAATATCTCCATTACACATTGTCTACATTATACTATATACAGTGGACCCCCGGTTAACGAACTTTTTTCATTCCAGTAGTATGTTCAGGTGCCAGTACTGACCGAATTTTTTCCCATAAGGAATATTGTGAAGTAGATTAGTCCATTTCAGACCCCCAAAAATACACGTACAAACGCACTCACATAAATACACTTACATAATAGGTCGCATTTGGAGGTGATCGTTAAGCGGGGGTTCACTGTAATTCTATTTTATGATTTTTACCTATCATGTTCAAATGCTAATTATGATTAAATGTAATAATAAAAGGAATCTATAGAAAATTTATTTAACCATGCAATTTTACAATCAAATTTTTTCAATAATTTTTTTGAAAAATGAATATCAACAGAATATACACTGACTGCATCGCAGCAATCAAAGGAGGTGTCACCGATATATTTTCTCATCATCTCTCTATTTAGATAAGATAAGATAAGATTTCGTTCGGATTTTTAACCCCGGAGGGTTAGCCACCCAGGATAACCCAAGAAAGTCAGTGCGTCATCGAGGACTGTCTAACTTATTTCCATTGGGGTCCTTAATCTTGTCCCCCAGGATGCGACCCACACCAGTCGACTAACACCCAGGTACCTATTTGCTGCTAGGTGAACAGGACAATAGGTGTAAGGAAACGTGTCGGAATTTCCACCCGCCGGGAATCGAACCCTGGCCCTCCGTGTGTGAAGCGGGAGCTTTAGCCACCAGACCACCGGGCCACCTCCAGACCACCGGGCCACCTCCAGACCACCGGGCCACCTCCAGACCACCGGGCCACCTCCAGACCACCGGGCCACCACCAGACCACCGGGCCACCTCCAGACCACCGGGCCACCTCCAGACCACCGGGCCACCTCCAGACCACCGGGCCACCACCAGACCACCGGGCCACCTCCAGACCACCGGGCCACCACCAGACCACCGGGCCACCACCAGACCACCGGGCCACCTCCAGACCACCGGGCCACCTCCAGACCACCGGGCCACCTCCAGACCACCGGGCCACCTCCAGACCACCGGGCCACCTCATGATGATAATGCTTCTGAGTAAAGGACTGATAGTAAAGTCACAATACTGTACTATAACCACAGACCACAGTTTCACGCAGAAGTTGTTTAAAATATTATCTTGCTTTAATGAGTAAAAAAAAAAAGAAATAGGCCAATAAGTCATGTTTCCTACATACGGGGCTGCATACTTAGGAATGACTTGACTACCGGAGGTTCAACTTAGAAACAAACTGTTTTCCCAGAGTTCCTACCAACAATTTTTGTGATCTTGAAATTATCATTGAATGAAAAATTGTTACAGTGTTACTGTTAAGAGATTATCAGCCATGTTCTAACACATCTTGTCCCACTGTATTTCTATTGTAACTATGTAACTTGTTATATTTCCACCATCTCTATTCAATCCCTCCAAAAAACTGAAGATCACTGAATAAGTTTGAAATAATATATAATACTATCGAAACTTCAAACTTAATACAGTGGACCCCCGCCTTCCGATCAGCTCCCATCTCGAACAATTATGTAAGTGTATTTTTGTAAGTGCTTTTGTAAGTGTATTTTTGTAAGTGCTTTTGTAAGTGTATTTTTGGTGGCCTGAAACGAACTAATCTAATTTACAATATTCCTTATGGGAACAAATTCGTTCAGTAACGGCACCCGAACAGACTTCTGGAATGAATTAATATCGTAAGTCGGGGGTCCACTGTAATTTCTTTGCTATAGATGGAACTAATGTTGCAAATAACATTCATCTCAAACTATCATCAGTAGTGGTCTGACACACCATTTGTTCATTAGCTACTTTTCCTAGTGTATTTATAATTGTAATTAACAGTAGTATAAGAAGTCCTACTTAATAATTTGTGTCAAGATCTGAAGCAACATTGAAGCATTAGGATTAGTTTGCCTGAAATGAATTGCATATTAGTGGCTTTCTTTTGTGCCTACCAATGTTTTATTGTATGTAAAGTATATTTTTTGTACCATGAAGAAATAAAAACTGTATTGTATAGTACTGTAACTAGCAAGACACTAATATATATGTATGTCACTGTTGAGATAGCAGAGTCACTGTTAAGACATTATCAGTGGTGTCACTGTTAAGAAATTATCAGTTTGGTTCTCACTGGTATGTCTGGATCATTAAAATTCAAGTGTTCATAGGTCAGGAACTCTGTACAGCTGTCCATTAAGAGATGAACATCATGAGCGTGCTTTACCTGCAGGGCCTCGGAGCTGGAGTTATGGTATGTTAGTTTAGCATTCACTTGTGCTACAAACCCACGAATGGTCACCTGCGTTGACACACACTCTAGATCCACCAACTGTATTACATCGGCTGAAAATTTGAAATGATTAAAAATGATCAAACCTACAATAAAATTGTGATAAAAATATATTATTTTTTAAACCATTTAAAAAATGCCAACATTTTATGCACAAAGACTAGCTGAACATTTCCTAATTCTCATGTGTCTAGGTGCATACACCCAACCTAGCCTAACCTGACACTACATAGCATAGAAACCACAATACAAAGGGTTGGGTGAATTGGATTGAAGAAATGGTATGATGATACTAACAAGAAGTGGAAAAAGACACTTATGCACAGTTCAGGACATTTATTAAAGGAAACGTTTCGCCACGAGTTGCTTCTTCAGTCCTAATACAGAGATAACTAAGAACACGAGTATATATAGTGGCAGGAGTCAGGTGGAATGTAGCATGGAAAGAGGTAGTAGTAGTAGTAGTGGAACTAATGTGGTGAGATGGGTTGGGTTAGAGAGGAACTTGTTGACATATTACAGCTATCTCCAGAAAGAGTAATATCCCGTTGGTTAGCAATTTTGAGATACTGTAACTACTGGACTTTTGATGGATATCTAATTGATTGTCAGTGTTACTGACAGCAATTAGGGCAGCTTCTATGCACTTTCGCTGTCTTAAATGTCTTAAAACTGCGTGTGTTCAACATAGGGACGATGTTGGACACTTCATGAAATTCACTGAGGCTAAACTAGTGATTAAAGAAGACTATTTGGTCACCCAACCAAGGCCTTCTACTGGCTTACCCCTCCACCCCTTTAAAAATTAAGGTTATTCAATCCAAGAAATGGTCAGGGCCAGATTCTTGAATCAAATATCCCTCACTGGAACTCTGCCAGAAATCTCCAGAACCAATGGCTCAGCTAGCATTTTTAAAACTACAGTTAAAAAAACACCTTATCTCCTTAACCAATCCTAGCCCATCATAAATATGTAAAAAACAATATGTGCATAGGTAAATCTTTATAATCAATATATGCTTACTCTCAATACCTGTATTCAACTCAAATGTAATGTTAATTATTCCATTGTGTCCACCTAAGGTTAGTTAATCAAAACTGTAAGTCTTCTCTACCAAACTTATTAAAGCCATATTGCATAACCTAATAGAATATTCAGTTTTCTTGTATTCAATGTAACTCACCTAATGAACATACGTACAATTTTGCACTGTTATTGCCTTATTAATCTTAAGCTAGTCTTTGTGAGGGAAAAGTTCAACAGATAGGAGTAGCGAGTGAATATATGGTGACAATAGTTTGATTGCCAGTCTGCTTGTTAAGGTAGGGTCAGTGTCTAACTCCCGCTACCCCCCCTCCTTTTGCCTCCACCCGGAAAGGTGATGTGTGGGGCTCTGACCAAATGGATAATCACTTGACTCACAGCTCCCAACACAACTTTTGGAATGTCAGCTTGGGTCATCTTGCAACTACAGAGACAGTGCTGAAGCAGATGACCCTCACTTTGGTTCTTGGACGTCACCCTTGATCTACGTACCCGAGTGTAGCCAACCCCAGGCAACTACCCCTCATCTTTGCAGTGGTGAAAGACCTGCATTCCTATCATCTTGACGGATCATTCAAGGCTAGAGATACAGTGGCTGAATAGTCGTTGGGTTGTCACTCAACAGCTGTGACCCCCCCCCCATCATCAGCAACGGCTATAATTTCTACAATGCACAGTGTCAACAACATCAACTAGATACCCCAGTCTAACTGTACATATAAGCGTTGAATTCAAATATCATTTTATATTTCATTTTTCATTCTCTTTCAAGTAGGATAAAAGTTCATATTTAAATGTTTTATATTTTCAGTTCTAACAAAGTGTTTATATTTGTACGTTATTATTCTTTTCCCATTCATTAATTTTCCTAAGGAGGAGACAGCCTTGGTAATACAGTGGACCCTCGTCTAACGCTATTAATCCATTCCTTAGAGCTCATCGTTAGTCAAAATTATCGTTAGTCAAGTTAATTTTCCCCATAAGAAATAATGGAAATCAAATTAATCTGTGTATGACACCCCAAAGTATGAAAAAAAATTGTTTTTACCACATGAAATATTAATTTTAATACACACAAACTGAAGAAGACATGCATAGTTACATGACACTTACCTTTATTGAAGATCTGGTGATGATTGATGGGTTGGGAGGAGGGGAGACTGGATGGTTTTAGTGTTTAGAAGGGGAATCCCCTTCCATGAGGACTTGAGGTGGCAAGTCCTTTTCCAGGGTTACTTCCCTTCCCTTTAAATCTCTCAAACCAACCTTTGCTGGCCTTAAATTCACTCACATCACCACTAGTTGCTGGCATTTTTTTAATTAAATAGTCATGCAACTTCCTAGCCTTTTCACATATGATCGCTTGAGAGATGCTATCTCCTGCTATCTGTTTTTCGTTTATCCACACCAATAACAGTCTCTCAACATCTTCGAGTACTTGCGATCTCAGTTTCGAAAACATAGTTGCACCTTTGGCAAGAACAGCTTCCTTGATTGCCGTTTTCTTGGCCACAATAGTAGCGATGGTTGATTGGGGTTTTGTGTACAACCTGGCCAGCTCGAAGACACGCACTCCACTTTCATACTTAGCAATGATCTCTTTCTTCATATCCATAGTAATTCTCACCCTTTTTGCTGTAGGGTTGGCACTAGAAGCTTTTTTGGGGCCCATGGTGACTTATTTTGCAGGTGCAATCACTAAAAAGGCTGTGATAATATGAAATGTTCCGATTGTATGCTTGGAAGCGACCACGGTGGCTGGCTGGCTTGTAAACACTGGCCAGAAGTGGACGCGTCTCAGATGGAACGAATAGTGTTGGTCGAGTTTTTTAGCGCTAGTCGAGGCAAAAATTTTGCGTTAGAGTGCATCGCTAGTCGGATTTATCATTAATCGATGCCATCATTGGTCGAGGGTCCACTGTACCTACTTAAGATCTTAGAGGGCTTAGTAAACCTTCACAGTCTTAAGTTTGCCTGAAATGCTCTGCATATAAAGGGGCTTTTGGCATGTACACCCAACTGTTATACTCCTTTGTATAAACATGTATCATGCTGAAATAAAAATTATTATTATTATTATGATTATTATTACAGTGGACCCCCGGTTAACGATATTTTTTCACTCCAGAAGTATGTTCAGGTGCCAGTACTGACCGAATTTGTTCCCATAAGAAATATTGTGAAGTAGATTAGTCCATTTCAGACCCCCAAACATACACGTACAAACGCACTTACATAAATACACTTACATAATTGGTCACATTCGGAGGTAATCGTTATGCGGGGGTCCACTGTATTAGGTTTATTTGCCACATTTTAAGTGGGTTTGTCATGTTGGAATTTATGCATAGTGATTGATTCAGAAGATACTGAAGGATCACTGTGGCAAAGAATGTTAATGTAAGTGAATGCTTAGTGGAAGACTGAATTGGGTGTTTTAAATACGTATATTGTGGAAGCCATGACTATGCCACATCACAACAGTACGGAAGCAGGTAATAGAAAATGATGGTTATTCAGACTGGCATTCCTGAAAGGATAAAGCCCATGATAAACCAACAAAACCAAGATAAGTGCTTTTTTCCACTGCTGTTCTGTTTAGGTCCTCACCAGGAGGTGACTAAAAAAAATCGATGAATTCCAAGATTTAAGTTATCTATTTACTGCTAAGTAACAAGAGCAATGAAAGCACTGTAATGAGAGCCTATGAATCTCTCCCCACCCAAGATTCAACCCACAGTGAGTTTATTTGAGAGCCAACTATGCTAGCATTGTGCTTCAAGGTACAAAGATAGGATGACATATATGAACTAGTCTGATGTACAGTGGAACCTCAAAAATCGAACGTATCACATATCGAACGTTTCGAAAATAGGACCCTTTTTTCGAGCAAACAGTGTGCCTATTATCAAACGTGCCCCTATTTTCGGGCCGCCAGGTACGGGACCTTTCCGCCGGCCTGCTCTGTCCACGTCCCCGCGCAGGCGCCATGAGCCAGTCCAGCTTTGTTTATGCCTGAGTGAACACTAACCTGCGCTCTCATTCATACATTTTACGATTATTTCGTTGTGTTTAGTGCTTGTGGGACTGTGAAATAAGCTACCATGGGCCAAAAGAAACTTGCTAGTGGTACCCCTGTGGTAAAGAAAGTGAGAAACACCATAGATGTGAAGAAGGAAATAATACAGAAGTATGAGAGTGGTGTGAGACTTGTTGAGCTTGCCAGGATGTACAGAGGACTGTGGACAGTTATTTTGTGAGACAGAAACAAATGACTGTGGACAGTTATTTTGTGAGACAGAAACAGACGACTGTGGAGTTATTTTGTGAGACAGAAACAGACGACTGTGGAGTTATTTTATGAGACAGAAACAGACGACTGTGGAGTTATTTTATGAGACAGAAACAGACAACTGTGGAGTTAATTTGTGAGACAAAAACAGACTGGAGTTATTTTGAGACAAAAACAGATGACTGTGGAGTTATTTTGTGAGACAGACGACTGTGGAGTTATTTTGTGAGACAAAAACAGAGGACTGTAGACAGTTATTTTGTGAGACAGGGGTCCAGTGACTCTCAACCTGGTCCTAGTGGCATTAAAATACAGAGAAGGGAAGTAACCCCAGAGAGGGCTTTGATACCGGAAGTCCTCATGGAGGGGGATTCTCTTTCCAAACACTAACCCCAACTCCCCCTCTCTTCCTCCCTATCTTCCAGATGTCATCACCAATCTTCAATAAAGGCAAGTAAAATTTTTTTTTTTAACAAGTCGGCTGTCTCCCACCGAGGCAGGGCGAAAAAAAATATTTATTTTATAATTACAGTGGACCCCCGGTTAATGATATTTTTTCACTCCAGAAGTATGTTCAGGTGCCAGTACTGACCGAATTTGTTCCCATAAGAAATATTGTGAAGTAGATTAGTCCATTTCAGACCCCCAAACATACACGTACAAACGCACTTACATAAATACACTTACATAATTGGTCGCATTCGGAGGTGATCGTTATGCGGGGGTCCACTGTATATACATAATTAAAGACTATATTATTTGTTGTATGTGTGTAAAACTGTAATTAATCTCTATAAAATGTATTTTTTCTTTTTTGTGAATATTTTTGGGTTTCTGAAACAGATTAATTGTATTTCCATTATTTCTTATGGGAAATATTGCTTCGATTTTCAGACTTTTTGAATTTAGAACTAGCTCCTGAAACGGATTAAGTTCGAAATTTGAGGTTCCACTGTACTATAAGAAACAGAATATATGAACTTTAACTTATTTTGCATATGTATTCTACTTGCATACAATATTATGCACCTTACATACATTAACTTTGATCATTTACAACTAATTACATGAAGATAATTTATAAAATATAAAATATAAAATATAAAAGAAACACTACCTGTTTATAAATTCAAGTCTCTTCTCAAAGATCACTTACTCACCCAAAACCAAATAAATACTGAATAACTGAACCTTATAAATTGTATATCTTAAATGTTTCTCACAATTATATCACATAAATGTTAAACCTAAAACCCAATCTAACTTTATTATTTTTTAAATACACTACCTAACAGAATACTCCATTCTACTGAATGTACAACAATGCATACAACCATATGACCTGTCTTTGTAATACTCACTTGTGCTTTATAGTAATCTGTATACATTAAAGTTTTATCACTGATGTCATCATTGCTTAGTTCATCTTAAGTTAATTTTAAGCCAGCCCGTAATGCTATGCATAGTATAAGTGGCTTTGGCATGCTGCTCTTATCTGTATTTTTTGTACCTCTGTATGTGTGCTCAAATTTTTAAATAAATAAATAAATAAATGAACTATAAATTTATATCAAATATGTCAATTCCATGTTTAATATTTTAAGCTAATTGTGTATTAAATAATTTCAACCACAGTATATTTAAAAATACTATAGATTGCCCCGTTGATGAGTGATGGTGATGTAATTCCTTCTTTGAGTCACTTGGCTTCGATGAAAAATGGCGGTGTTAAAAAAAATTGCCTGTAGTCATTTAGGTTAGTTTTGCCTCTTAAATATCTTATTGTTTCTCATATAACATAAAACTGTTTAATTAATAATTTAAGTTAGCAAAGTAATAGTGAATCATGCCAAAATGAGCAAAATGAGTTTTAGTTTATCATGAAAATTTTGAAGTCAATTAGTATTAAGGTTAAACACTTACTTTTGATCAAGCAATAGCCCAGCAAACCCCACCGAGGTACTGGAAGAATTTTCACGAAAGCCATCCTTGCGTCTGAAATTATACCAAGCTTTCAGTATTAATATCAAATGTAAATAAATAACAATATGGAAATGGAAAATAAACAATGGTTGTGTCCATCCTGGACCATTAATAAGACACTCATGACTTAATGACCTAAGACCTCACTAAAACATGACATCACAGATGTGGCCTGGTAGTCAACGATCTTGCCTCACACACACAGTGTCTGTAGTTAAGTAAGTAAGTAAGTAAGTAAGTAAATTTATTCAGGTATACACAAATACAGTTACATAGAATTATCATACATAGCAGCATGTGTGTAGAGAACCTAGGATAACCCAAAAAAGTCAGACAGAGTGACTTATTTCCATTGGGGTCCCTGGCAAGGGTGGAAATACTGGGTGTGTCTCCTTACACCTGTCCTGTTCACCTACCAAGTAGATACCTGGGTGTTAGTCAACTGGTGTGGGTTGCATCCTGGGGGACACGACTGAAGGACCTGGAGTTCACCTGGAGAGGAACCAAAATGGAAATACTACAGACAGTCCCTCGATGATGCACTGCCGTTCTTGGGTTATCCTGGACGGCTAATAATCTGGGGTTAAAAATACCAACGAAATCTTATCTTGTCAAAATCAGTTATCCATAGCTGTAATGTGCTTTATACATGCTTATGTAACTATGTAATTTAGGAATGTGTCAAAATATTGGTATTGGTGGTATTGGCCTATTTTAGAGGCATGTTCTAACACAAATGAAGCTTTAGAAATGTGTTCTAACAAAAATGAAGCTTTAGAGGTGTGTTCTAACAAATGAAGCTTTAGAGATGTGTTCTAACACAAATGAAGCTTTAGGGATAGGATAGATAGGATTTCGTTCGGATTTTTAACCCCGGAGGGTTAGCCACCCAGGATAACCCAAGAAAGTCAGTGCGTCATCGAGGACTGTCTAACTTATTTCCATTGGGGTCCTTAATCTTGTCCCCCAGGATGCGACCCACACCAGTCGACTAACACCCAGGTACCTATTTGCTGCTAGGTGAACAGGACAACAGGTGTAAGGAAACGTGTCGAAATGTTTCCACCCGCCGGGAATCGAACCCGGGCCCCTCCGTGTGTGAAGCGGGAGCTTTAGCCACCAGGCCACCGGGTGTTCTAACACAAATGAAGCTTTAGAGGTGTGTTCTAACACAAATGAAGCTTTAGAGGTGTTACAACACAAAGCTTAGTTCAGGCATTTTAACATAATGCTTACATGAGAAGTTTTAACAAATAAAGCTTACTTTAGGTGCTTTCACACAAGCTTAGTTTTCACAGAAGCTTAGTTTAGGTGTTCTTACACAAAGTTTACATTAGGTGTTCTAACACAAATAAAGCTTATTTTGTGTTTTAACACAAATAAGGCTACTTTAGCTGTTTTAACACAAAGCTTACTTTAGTATTTTAACATAAATAAAGCTTACTTTAGGTGTTCTAGCACGAATCAAGCCTACTTTAGGTGTTTTAATACAAAGCTTATTTTAGGTATACCATTAATAAAAGCTTACTTTAGGGGCAAGTTCTAACAAAAAAAAACTTTAGATGTGTTATAAAGCTTATTTTAAGAGTTGTAACACAAACAAAGCTTTAGATGTGTTATAAAGTTTACTTTAGAAGTTTAAGAAAAATAAAGCTTTAGATGTCATAAAGCTTACTTTAGGAGTTGTAACAGAAATAATGCTTTAGATGTGTGTTATAAAGCTTACTTTAAAAGATTTAACACAAAGCTTCAGATGTGTTATAAAGTTTACTTTAGGAGATGTAACAAATAAAGCTTTAGATGTGTTATAAAGCTTAGTTTAGGTGTTGTAACAAAAATAAAGCTTTAGATGTGTTATAAAGCTTATTTTAGTTGTAACAAATAAAGCTTTAGATGTGTTATAAAGCTTACTTTAGTTGTAACACAAATAAAGCTTTAGATGTGTTATAAAGCTTTCGTTAGTTGTAAAACAATTAAATCTTTAGATGTGTGTTAGAAAGCTTTCATTAGGAGTTGTAAAACAAGTAAAGCTTTAGATGTGTGTTACAAAGCTTTAGGAGTTTTAACACAAAGCTTTAGAGATGTTATAAAGCTTACTTCGGGAGTTTTAACAAAAATTAAGCTTTAAATGTGTTATAAAGCTTACTCTAGGAGTTCTAACATAAAGCTTTAAATGTTATAAAGCTTACTCTAGGAGTTCTAACATAAAGCTTTAAATGTGTTATAAAGCTTACTCTAGGAGTTCTAACATAAAGAAGCTTTAAATGTGTTATAAAGCTTACTCTAGGAGTTCTAACATAAAGCTTTAAATGTGTTATAAAGCTTACTCTAGGAGTTCTAACATAAAGCTTTAAATGTGTTATAAAGCTTACTCTAGGAGTTCTAACATAAAGCTTTAAATGTGATATAAAGCTTACTCTAGGAGTTCTAACACAAAGCTTTAGCCGTGCATTATAAAACCTTAGTCACAAGAGTCACAAGGAGCCACAAACCACTTTTAAAAAACCACTTAAAACAGCAAGTAAAAGCAATGTCAAGTGTGTGTCACTTACCCAGCTGGTGAAGCAAGTGTCATGCGCTTTACTGGACCTCCAATAACACCGGAATAATAAAGCGGAGCCACAAAATAAGGGAATAATAAGGAGGGAGTGTAGCCGTCCTCCTCCAACTCAGTGTTGCACCATCTTGTGTCACTTGGGTTTCCATTTTTTTTGTGTGTTTTTTTGGGGGTTTTATCTGGTTTTTTGGCGTTTTATGGGTTGTTTTGTGGGTTTTTTTTTCTCGTTTTGTTGAGGTTGTATTGCTGTTTGATTTTTTTGGGGTTATTCTGGGTAATTTACATATTTGTTATGTATGATAATTTATGTAACTGTATTTGTGTCCTCTACCTAAACTTACTTACTTTTACTTACTTACTTTACTTGGTTACTTACTTTACTTAGTTACTTTACTTCGTTACTTACTTGGTTACTTTACTTCGTTACTTACTTTACTAAGTTACTCAGTTACTTAGTTACTTTACTTGGTTACTTTACTTCGTTACTTTCTTTACTTGGTTACTTTACTTGGTTACTTACTTTACTTGGTTACTTACTTTACTTGGTTACTTAGTTACTTACTTTACTTGGTTACTTACTTTACTTAGTTACTTACTTTACTTGGTTACTTTACTTCGTTACTTACTTTACTAAGTTACTTACTTTACTGAGTTACGTTACTAAGTTACTTTACTGAGTTACTTTACTAAGTTACTTTACTGAGTTACTTTACTAAGTTACTTAGTTACTTACTTTACTGAGTTACTTTACTAAGTTACTTAGTTACTTACTTTACTGAGTTACTTTACTAAGTTACTTAGCTACTTACTTTACTGAGTTACTTTACTAAGTTACTTAGTTACTTTACTGAGTTACTTTACTAAGTTACTTAGTTACTTACTTTACTGAGTTACTTTACTAAGTTACTTAGTTACTTACTTTTCAATTCAATTCAAATTCAAAGTTTATTCTCTATAAAGATTACAATGTTGAATTTACAGAATTTGGTTGTTGTGTGGTTTACATGTAGTTAAATAATGATTACAGAGTGTACCACTAGAACGCCTAGCATGGCTAGGCATTTCGGGCAGACTTAGTTTAATTCTTTATTTTAAAATATTACAAATTATGAGGTAAGTTGGTATTATGGCTAAGTGACTAAATACTAGTTTGTGAGTTTAGCAATGTGAATGCTTTTGTTTTGGCACAGTACATAGTTTCAGTATTGGAGTATCACAGGATTCATTATTTTAAGATTGAGATTAATATTTCTGTTTATGGTCAAATGGGTGAGTGAGTGTAAGTGTGAACCACCAGGTGGTATTCATGTAGTTAGTTGACGGGGTGTATCAGGGAGATAAGATGTTTTCTAATGGTAGTTTTGAAGGTGATGAATGTGTCTGCAGTTCTAGAGTTCTCAGGTAGGGTATTCCAGATTTTAGGGCCTTTGACATACATTGAATTTTTGTAAAGGTTTAGTCGGACACGGGAATGTCGTAGAGATGTTTGTGTCTGGTGTTATGCCTGTGGGTTCTGTCACAACTATCAAGAAAGCGTTTTAGGTCAAGGTTGATATTAGAGTTTAAGGTCCTGTAGATGTAGATTGCACAGTAGTAAGTGTGGATATACTGAACAGGGAGTAAGTTTAGATCTATGAAGAGTGGGGGGGGGGGGTGTTGCCAGGGATGGGATTTAGTGATTATTCTTACTGCAGCTTTTTGTTGGGTTATTATTGGCTTTAGGTGTGTTGCTGCAGTTGATCCCAAGCACAAATAGCATAGGTGAGGTATGGATAAATAAGTGAGTGGTATAGTGTGAGAAGGGCATTTTGCGGCACGTAGTATCTTATCTTGGAGAGGATCCCAACCGTTTCGGATACTTTTTTGGTTATATGCTGGATATGGGTGCTGAAATTCAGGTTGTTGTCAAGGTATAAGCCTAGGAATTTGCCCCCATTATTTCTGGTAATTAGAGTGTTGTCAATCTTAATGTTAATTTGTGCATCTCCTGCTCTGCTACCAAACATAATATAGTAGGTTTTGTCAGTGTTAAGCGTAAGTTTATTGGCTGTCATCCAAGTCGATATTTTAATCAGCTCCTCATTCACAATGGTGTTGAGGGGGGCAAGATTAGGGTGAGAGATGACATAAGGTGTTGGGTTACGTTTGGAAGGTCATTGATGTATATGAGGAAGAGCAGGGGACCAAGGACACTTCCCTGCGGAACTCCAGTATCAAGTGGCCGTGTTGCTGATGCTGTTTACCTGGAGAGAGTTCCGGGGGTCAACGCCCCCGCGGCCCGGTCTGTGACCAGGCCTCCTGGTGGATCAGAGCCTGATCAACCAGGCTGTTGCTGCTGGCTGCACGCAAACCAACGTACGAGCCACAGCCCGGCTGATCAGGAACTGACTTTAGGTGCTTGTCCAGTGCCAGCTTGAAGACTGCCAGGGGTCTGTTGGTAATCCCCCTTATGTGTGCTGGGAGGCAGTTGAACAGTCTCGGGCCCCTGACACTTATTGTATGGTCTCTTAACGTGCTAGTGACACCCCTGCTTTTCATTGGGGGATGGTGCATCGTCTGCCAAGTCTTTTGCTTTCGTAGTGAGTGATTTTCGTGTGCAAGTTCGGTACTAGTCCCTCTAGGATTTTCCAGGTGTATATAATCATGTATCTCTCCCTCCTGCGTTCCAGGGAATACAGGTTTAGGAACCTCAAGCGCTCCCAGTAATTGAGGTGTTTTATCTCCGTTATGCGCGCCTTTGAAGGTTCTCTGTACATTTTCTAGGTCAGCAATTTCACCTGCCTTGAAAGGTGCTGTTAGTGTGCAGCAATATTCCAGCCTAGATAAAAACAAGTGACCTGAAGAGTGTCATCATGGGCTTGGCCTCCCTAGTTTGAAGGTTCTCATTATCCATCCTGTCATTTTTCTAGCAGATTGCGATTGATACAATGTTATGGTCCTTGAAGGTGAGATCCTCCGACATGATCACTCCCAGGTCTTTGACGTTGGTGTTTCGCTCTATTTTGTGGCCAGAATTTGTTTTGTACTCTGATGAAGATTTTAATTTCCTCATGTTTACCATATCTGAGAAAATTGAAATTTCTCATCGTTGAACTTCATATTGTTTTCTGCAGCCACTGAAAGATTTGGTTGATGTCCGCCTGGAGCCTTGCAGTGTCTGCAATGGAAGACACTGTCATGCAGATTCGGGTGTCATCTGCAAAGGAAGACACGATGCTGTGGCTGACATCCTTGTCTATGTCGGATATGAGGATGAGGAACAAGATGGGAGCGGAGTACTGTGCCTTGTGGAACAGAGCTTTTCACCGTAGCTGCCTCGGACTTTACTCTGTTGACTACTTACTATCTGTGTTCTGTTAGTGAGGAAATTATAGATCCATCGACCGACTTTTCCCGTTATTCCTTTAGCACGCATTTTGTGCGCTATTACGCCATGGTCACACTTGTCGAAGGCTTTTGCAAAGTCTGTATATATTTACATCTGCATTTCTTTTTGTCTTCTAGTGCATTTAGGACCTTGTCGTAGTGATCCAATATTTGAGACAGACAGGAGCGACCCGTTCTAAACCCATGTTGCCCTGGGTTGTGTAACTGATGGGTTTCTAGATGGGTGGTGATCTTGCTTCTTAGGACCCTTTCAAAGATTTTTTTTGATATGGGATGTTAGTGCTATTGGTCTGTAGTTCTTTGCTGTTGCTTTACTGCCCCCTTTGTGGAGTGGGGCTATGTCTGTTGTTTTTAGTAACTCTGGGACGACCCCCGTGTCCATGCTCCCTCTCCATAGGATGGAAAAGGCTCGTGATAGGGGCTTCTTGCAGTTCTTGATGAACACAGAGTTCCATGAGTCTGGCCCTGGGGCAGAGTGCATGGGCATGTCATTTATCGCCTGTTCGAAGTCATTTGGCGTCAGGATAACATCGGATAGGCTTGTGTTAACCAAATTTTGTGGCTCATAAAAAATTCATTTTGATCTTCGACTCTCAGTCTGGTTAGCGGCTTGCTAAAAACTTACTTTACTGAGTTACTTTGCTAAGTTACTTAGTTACTTACTTTACTTAGTTACTTACTTTACTTAGTTACTTTGCTAAGTTACTTAGTTACTTACTTTACTTAGTTACTTACTTTTCTTAGTTACTTTACTAAGTTACTTAGTTACTTACTTTACTTAGTTACTTTACTAAGTTACTTAGTTACTTTACTTAGTTACTTACTTTACTTAGTTACTTTACTAAGTTACTTAGTTACTTACTTTACTGAGTTACTTACCTTTACTAGTTACTTACTCATTTACTTACTGGTGGCTAAAGCTCCCGGTTCACACACGGAGGACCCGGGTTCGATTCCCGGTGGGTGGAAACATTCCGACACGTTTCCTTACACCTGTTGTCCTGTTCACCTAGCAGTAAATAGGTACCTGGGTGTTAGTCGACTGGTGTGGGTGGCATCCTGGGTGATAATGGACTGGTGTGGGTGGCATCCTGGGTGTTAATGGACTGGTGTGGGTGGCATCCTGGGTGATAATGGACTGGTGTGGGTGGCATCCTGGGTGATAATGGACTGGTGTGGGTGGCATCCTGGGTGATAATGGACTGGTGTGGGTGGCATCCTGGGTGATAATGGACTGGTGTGGGTGGCATCCTGGGTGATAATGGACTGGTGTGGGTGGCATCCTGGGTGATAATGGACTGGTGTGGGTGGCATCCTGGGTGATAATGGACTGGTGTGGGTGGCATCCTGGGTGATAATGGACTGGTGTGGGTGGCATCCTGGGGGAGATTAAGAACCACAATTTAAATAAGTTAAGACAGTCCTCGATGAAAGGTGCTGAAAGGTGCTTGAAAGGTGCTGTTAGAGTGCAGCAATATTCCAGCCTAGATAGAACAAGTGACCTGAAGAGTGTCATCATGGGCTTGGCCTCCCTAGTTTTGAAGGTTCTCATTATCCATCCTGTCATTTTTCTAGCAGATGCGATTGATACAATGTTATGGTCCTTGAAGGTGAGATCCTCCGACATAATCACTCCCAGGTCTTTGACGTTGGTGTTTCGCTCTATTTTGTGGCCAGAATTTGTTTTGTACTCTGATGAAGATTTAATTTCCTCATGTTTACCATATCTGAGTAATTGAAATTTCTCATCGTTGAACTTCATATT